CCCCACCCCCGAACATCTTGCTCACTTCATTTCGAATGTTGTTTGATGAACATCTGTCTTTGGGACGCTTCTTTCTCAGCAGTCCCCGACTTTTCCCAAACCGGCTGCTATCTTCTGGACTATTTCACATGGCATTAATGCTCATAATGCTGCATAATCAAGTCTTTTTTAGAGATATTTCCTTTCTTTTTCTCTCTCTTGAAAGAGTAAAGAGTGGTAAAAATCACTCGACCACCTTTGTGTTTTTTTTGTCCATTTTAAGTTTAGGTATTAAGGGCTGAATTGCAGAGTTTCTGAATATCTGTATCCCGCCTGAGAACCCTTTGACTCCATTTTTGGAAGTACAAGTAAAATCTGAATGCCTTAAAATGAGCTTTTTCCCAACATCAACTTATTTTATTTAAATAAAAATGATTGCGTCCTCATTCTGTCTGAATGACTGAGAAGAAAAAAATAATGATCTCTCTCTACGACTTTTTAAATCTCCACCAAAAATGCTCGGGCGGGCACACAACAAACGTCGGAAGACTCAAAGGATAGAGAAAATTACACGGAAAATGGGTCACCGGCTGCATTAGGGGGGCTTTTTAAAACACGAGAACTTCCATCGGAGACGAGGAATCGAGCCATCACCCCTCAGCGTGTCGCATTTACTGTTTAAATTCCTCATTGTTTTACTCCAAAAGCACAATGAACCGGAGCTCCACGAGTGCCTGGCTGGAAAAACAAAAACCGGGATTCTTCACGGTGTGTCGCTGGCGTCCGACTTCAAAGACTTGCAGAGGTGTTCTAATCTGCAAAGAGACGGGAGTGTTAAAAAAAAGAGGAAAGAGAGCTCATACGTTTCCTGATTTATAGCGAAAGTCTGAGACGCTGGAGGTGAAGTGTGGCAGCGGCATCTAAATGAGAGGTTTCTAAATGAAGCAGAGCCGTAATTAGCACTAATAGCTCGTCAGCTGCATTGCCTCGAGGGGGAAAGACATCCAGAACGAGTCTGCTTTGGTTAGAACAAATTTCTAATGATCTGAAAGAGGCCGAAAGAGCGGAAAAAAAAAGGTTACTCGTTGCTCGCAAATGTTGCTTAGAAGACGTGTGCGAACAATAAAGCAGAGGCTGTTTTTTTTATCATCTTCGCGCCCGAGACTTATCGATGATCAAATTCTTTTGTTTCATTTGCATATGCCGAGAAGAAGGCCGATGACTCGGCAGAATCTGTCAAGGGCAGACAGTTGGAGGGGGAGCTGTGCACACCACTCCGTGCCACCTCTCTGCTACTATGCAGCTCCAGTGCCACACCGGTATCGGTAGACATCGGAAAGCTGCACCAGTGGTGGTTTGGAAAATGAAAAATAGATTCACCAGTTAGTGGTGTTATATCCAGATGGAGACTGTTCCCATTCGGGTTTTAGTCATTTGTTTAAACAATGGTTCTGAAAAACCACACATCAATTAAAGAGAGTAAGTAAGTAAGTAAGTAAGTAAAGTTTATTTATATAGCACATTTCACAGACATCAAAGGTCACAAGGTGCTTCACAGAAGTGCACAATTATACATCAAGATAAAACAACAAAATGTAATAAAAACCAATAACTACATAAAACAATAAAATGTAATAAAAACCATAACTACATCGAATGCACTGGAACTGTTAAAAAGATTTGCAAAAGAAATAGGTTTTAAGTTTGCTAAAACTTAAAACAAGGCATGGAAGAAAGAAAAAGAGACTTTTTTTAGACAAGGATGTTTTGCTTTGTGTGTTGTTAACCTGGTAAAAATTGCTTTGTGTACATATGTGAAAACAGACCTGGATTGTTCCCATTTAATCAAATGCACGTCGTGCCTTTCTGATCAAAGCAATAAAAATGGGTGCATACGTTATGTAGGAGTTGATTCAAATTCATTTCCATTTACTGTAGTGATGTAAGGTGGCATCTGCTTTGGAAGGCGTTTAAAATTCACACGGTGCCTGATGTTTCAATCAATCAATCAATCAATCAATCAATCAATCAATCAATCAATCA